TTGCACCATCGAAATTTTTGAGAGGGGCATATTTTGAGGGGAACAAATTTCGACGGAGTTATGAATTTTCGTGCTAAGGAACAAGGGGAAAAACATGGAACATACCGCAGCAAGTGAAATTTTATACGATATACGATTATTCTAATTCTATTTTAGTTTGCTCTGCTATTAAGAAAAGAAAACGAGTAGGTTCTTGCGCCATCGACATTCAGGGGAGGGATGGACGCCTCCGATACAAAGTATGTAGCGATTTTTAATTTGAATGTTCCATTTTTTCCAGAGAGAATCCGTGTGTGTTTTGAAACAAACTGGACTCAAAGCACTAGCAAATTATTGCATAAAATGTATTTACCCTGTTCGTTAAAAGGCATGTAACTATTAATTGAGTGAATGGCTCCAATATTTAAACTTGGTGTAATAGTCGAGTTCCTTTCAACATCCGAAGAACTTTTTAGTTTTCTTAGGGCGTGGAAGGTATGTAGGTACAACGCCATGTTTTGAGATTAATTTGTTCATAACCCAAAGTTTTAACGTATGTATACCCATCTATTCAGATCAATTAGAATAGCAACATTCTATTTGCTCGAATCGTTATTTGAAACAAGTAATTCCATAACACCCAAGAAATGAAAAATGAATTCATGATTGTTAGTAGGAGTAATTTATACATTATTTAAGATTTGAATTTTTTCTTTTTTAATCATACGAATTTAAATTCGATTCAAGGTTGGACAAAAGGTAGATATCTAATTGTATAACCAGCTGTATGTTCATCAGCTTCATTAGTCAGTCATAGTTGTAGAGGACAAGTAATTTTTTTCATTAGTGAAAAATAAATTGGCAATGACAATTCGACACTAATTAGAATTATCTTTAATTGTGGAATAGCAATTAACAATTAATAATTAATTTACTTAATGAAGCTTTCTGGAAGGGGTCCAGTAGAAGTCTGCCCAGAGACGGCTGCGAGTGAACACCTCCACACCACGCTGCCTTTCGATATCATAAATTTGTTTCAATTTCTTTTCAGTTTTCTTCTTTAATTCAGTTTATCTGTCATTGAAGTATTAGTTCTGTTATTTGGTATTTTAAAAGTCTTTCGCATTTTCACACAACTCGACGTGAAGAAAGTACAGTGGGGCTCTTAGATTTCTACGAGCTGAGGGGCTGTAATCGGCGAGTAATCCAAAGTACTTCTCGGTGATTAATTTAACTGTGAGTAATATTCCATATATTTTATTCAAAATGGTACAGTGCTAGTGCATGACTATCAAAATAATCTCATTTGATCCAAATGCAAAGTGATTTTTTCACCGACTGTGTTTTTATTTAACACAGGACATTTCTTCTTCAATTGTTTTGATCCACTGTAATGAAATGATACACTAATTCCCCAGTATCAGATGGAATTCCCGTAAAATTTACAAAATGTATGCTTCCCTGGAATTCTTCCGATTCTTCTATTCATTTATAATTTCTTCTTTCTTCAATATTCCAGGCCTCTTGGAAGAAAAAAGCTATTCTCCTTACTTTAAATAAAAACTCGAATCCATCTTCTCCAAAAGATTTTCATAAAATCTGAATCATTTCTAACTTCAATCCTTTTCAAAATTTTTAGTGCAATCCTGAATTTGCAGCTGTCAACCAACTTGATCCTCACCAATCTTTCCGGCTACTTTACGCAATGTGTTCGAATTAAAATTATCAGTGTTGTTCAGGCTGCTATGGATGACAAATAATTAACTGTCCTTGTACCCCTACTTGTAAAGTTCAGGAAAAGTTTTTTTCCAATGCTTTTGGCTTCATTAATCATTTTTTTGTTTTTTTCCATAATAAAATCATTATCTTTCCTTTCCTCCTTCAACGTGCCCAAGCAGTTTCCATTTCAAATAATCGATATCTTCCTTTCTTTCTCTGTACTCAGGAGTTGCCCAGGATTCGGGCATATCTCCTCTTCTTTTTCAGCACCTTTGTGCCGACCAATCCCAAATCTATTTATCCTTTTCTACATGTAAGTTATTTGTAGTATTAGCCAAGATTCAAGATGACCTTGAGCGAGTCAGTGCCTGCACAAACTTAAACGAATGAGGTTTAATGCTGCAAAAACCCTGACCATTGGTTCCAAACCTCTTCCCAGATCCAATACCAACTTTCCCACACTATACCTAAATGATCATCCATCCCAACATCATCTACTCGTCTGTTAAAAATTTATACTTTTTCAATTGATCAAACCCTCTCTTGGAATCATCATATCTTCCTACGATCAATTACCATTCTTTAATTATTCCATCGTTTCCGCCGCCTCCTTCCCCGATATACGCGCATACTCTTAGTTTCTTCCCTCATCTTCTCCCTCTTTGCCTATGGTTGTATAGTGTACGGTGACTTCTAGGTAGGTCTCGGTGACAAAATAAAGAGCTTTGTGAGATTTGTCAAGGGACCCGAAGACGTTTGTGTCTCCCACTAAAACGCTGAGCTAAGGTGCCTCATCCCTCCCTTCCGAACATAATATTTCCTAGGCACATTCCTTTATTAGATTATCATTCATTCCCTTTAAATTTCTTTTAAAGGATTTCATTCTTTTTAACATTATTCTAAATAGTCGAAAAATAGTTTGAAAAGCGAAAATTTCTTCACTGGATCGCGAGATATAAGAGGAAAAGCAAATGAAAAGTCAACAAATATTATCACACTATTTTTTCTTATAGCCATCCTCTCAATAGTCTGAAAATTGCTTGAAAATTTCACACATATTTTCATATTTTGTGAATTGGGTCCCTTACGCTCGACGTTGTTCAGTTAATATTTAATTATTTAATTATTTTAATATTTTAATTATAAAGTTAAATTTTATCATCGCCTTAAACATAAAATTTAACTTAATTTTTACAAATATGTATGCAGCACAAAAACCATCCTTGCTGTGTTACTAACGACTTTACCTTCTTTTTCAAGGACTACTCAATTTTCATTTTGGGGAAGGAGGTAGGACTGAATATAGGAAAGTTTTAGGTAGATAAAATATTTCAAACTCTATAATATTGTACTTAGTTGTTGAATATTATTACAATTTATAAGTATTTTTATATGGAACATAATGAATATGAAGGACAATGATTTTTAATAATTATTTTTCTTGGTTTTTCGGCGAACCTTTTGTATTATATTATGTTTTATTTTCTATCATACTATTTAGAGGGGAGAAATAGTTAATTATTTAAGTTAATAAAACATTTTCCAAAATTAATGAGTTATTCTTAGTTGTTGCGCCGTCCTGTGGCACCCTTTCCTTGGGTTAAATTATCTGAAATTCGGAATGTTGTTATTTTCATGACAGTCCAAAAAAATTTGGAAAGATATAGTAAAAACTTCTGCATACTAAAAAAAACAGTAATACATACCACAGTATAAGCAAACAATTAAATAAAGAATCGAGCAATAATTATAAAAAAACCAATTAAACCTAATCAGAAATTTACCTCAACAGCATAAAAACCAAATAATGAATTAAGAAAATATATAAAAAAGTAAAAGTGATTCAATAAAATAAAAATATACGAAAATTTGAAAAGCAACAATCAGAAACTTAAATAATCAATTTTCTGACATCAGTAATTAATAATAGGAGTTGAAATAAACTAAATGAATGCACACAAATATTAACAATTACCTTACTCTAAGTCATAGAAACTAATCAATATTTCAGCATTATGAAAGTTAATTAAAAAATATGTTTAATTAATGTAAATTTACAGTGGCAGCCCTTTGTTAATCAAGTCATTAACATAGTATCTACTTTGGTGAAAAAGTCCACTTTTTGAGAAAAATAACGAAACAATTTTTATCAATCAAAGAATAATCTGAGTACAGTTTAATCTTTTTTTTTAAATATAAGTAAAACAAAAATATAAATATAAGTTACATATAATATGACATATTATTTTGAATATATTTGGATGGAAGAATTTTTAAGCTCGTTCTGAGGAAAATAAAGGAAAAATCTGACTGATCAAAAAGGAAATTAAAATTAAATAACAGTAATAATTTATTAATAAATAGTTTTTATTCATTTCATTCAATTAAGTAAATAAGTTTATCTACTTGGATATACATTGTTTAAAAATTATTTTAAAAACTCAGCAACTTCGACTTGTCATTGAGACTATATGACATTGGTCGTAGCCTCCTATGTCTTGTAGCTTCCAACTTGGTGATCATTGCCAGTGATAACTTGGTGCACTTCTGGGCTAATACAGATTATAGAATAACATTATAACATCAGCTTACAGCTAGGAATCGGCCATTTATTTGTATATACACATTCATTGGGTAAAACTTTAATTTATGTAAAATAGTAATCATACCAATTTCGCTAAAACATAAAATAAAATTTTTGATGTAAACTGTTTCTTAATTTGTTGTTTCTGACTAAACATTTTGTAATGATGAAAGATTCCAAACACAGATAAGGGCTTAATTCTCGTTTCGAGGGATTGGAGAAGATCCCTAAGAAGAAGATAGTCTACCGACAGTTTATGGTATATGGTTGTATGGGTCCCATAACGTATAAAAAAAAATGTTTTTCTTAGGGATCTCAAAAATAAATCCACCCTGTATCCCAATGATTTCTGGCTGTATATATATATATCTTGAGTTCAGTACAATGTGAGGAAGTACTGTTTCTCCCCTTAATTATTTTTTAATTAATGGTACCCATTTTATAAAGGCTGGGTGTGCCCCAGGAGGGTCTCCCAATCCCAGGGGTTGATCCACGGCTAATGAAAAATTACTAGTCATTAGCCGGATTCAAACCTAGGACCTTGAGCTCTGGAAGTCAGTGTTCACCTACTGAACTATCCGATTCCCTATATAAATAAATAGAAGAAGAAAAATAAATTTTATTCAGGATTATTTAGTCCAGCTAATAATAATAATAATAACGAACAATAGAAGATATATATATGTATATATATATATATTGTATATTTTTATTGTAGGATGGAGCTCAACACAGCTTTTACAGAAATGATAAGGAATGTTTCATCAAAAGGTAATTTTATTTTTAAATATTTAATGTGTACATTATTATGATACTTATTTTGATAATGTATGAATGTTAGGTATCTTATATGATTAACTTAAATATGAATATAGTTAATTGGATTATCAGATAGCAAATATTTTGTTAAATAGATGAAACAGATCTGATTTAACATAAATAATTAAAAATATAAATATTAAATGAATAAACCAAATTAAAATTTTGTGTAACTAAAATATTAATAAGTGATATTTATTACAGGGCATGAAAGCCGGGAGATTCAATCTTGGTTGATGATGTCCAGTATTTGGCCTTCCGTAGCCCTCACTTCAGGGTACCTCTACTTTGTTATTTTAGGAGGGCCCAAACTGATGGAGGGAAGGAAACCTTACAATCTAAAGTCACCAATGCTAGTTTATAATTTGTTGCAAGTGGTTTTCTCATCTTGGATTGTAATTAAGGTGAGAAAGATTTACTTTTTTTTATTTCATTAATGAAGTAACTATGGTGTGAATGTGCTCTCAGAACTCTATTATAAATGTCCTTTATTGAGACAGATTGTAATATTTATCAATAAACAAATAAATAATTAAAAATAAAGTAAGTAACTGAGTTATTTCACCCAGGAATACATTGTTTAAGAATTATTTAATAATTAGCTTCTTCTTTTTCTTTTCTTTTCATCCAAATTTAATAGATCTGTTGGTCATGACCTTTGACATGTTTTTAAACAGTTCTATGATCTTAATACTGACGAACATGTTTAATAATTAGGAAAAAACATCAAGGAATTATCCTATTCTGGAAATGTTTCTTTCAAAAACTTCAATGCAGTCTAAAACTGTTTAACCCTCTAGCCGGCCCATGAATTGATACAACAGTCAGGACTATCAGTTATGATGACATCTATGCCAAAAATCTGTCATTTTTACTTGTTTAATGTAAAATTGTACATAAATATTATGCATAGGATCGATTCATTTATTTTAGAGAAGTACGGTGAAGGGGAAAAAAATCACCTTCACAACTATATATTTTGTAAAACTAACAAACAGATATTATGAACAAACTTCAATATTATTAATCTTTATTTTAATTATTCATCTTCAAAATAGTAATAAAAGGCATCTATAATTATTATTATTAATTCCTCAAATTCTTTCGGTGGGACATAGGGCCATCATGAAGTTCTGTCTGGCATCTCAATCTCTAGCTCCTTGACTCTAGACCAGGTCGGGCTTTATATATCTCCTCCTCCAAATTTCGCCTCCACGTTTCTCTAGGCCACTCCCTTTTTCACTGTCCTTGGGGGTTCCACACTAAATTCTGCTTGGTTAAGTTGTTATGCTTCTTTTATAAGTTTATGTCCCATATATCTCCATTTCCGGTATTTAATGCTTAATCTATCGAGGCTTTATTAGCATACGACTAGATTACAGCATGGCAGATTGTTTCAGGCCACCATACTTACAATATGTTTCACAGACATCATATTGTACAATATGTAATAATAGCAATATTACATAGAGGGAGAGGGGCAAAAACATAGATAGTCCATAAATAAAGAAATAGCCAATTCATCAATATTTCGTATAACACAAATACAGAAGCAGATTTGTTGTAGAGCTAACCCCAGGTCACATGTTTCACAAAATTTTAGTACTCTAATTCTACACTTGAATAAATTAAACTTAAATTTAGTTTTATTAGATTTATTGTTTGAAATAAAAACATTAAATTTCTGTCATTTCAAATAGATTTAATATATATATTCATTGTTTACAACATCCTTCAGTGAAAATTTCAGAAAACTAATCATAGTAAAAAACATATCTCAAGTCCTACAAGTTATTATAACTACCTGTATTCATGTACACAGCATCAGGCCTACCAGTCATTTTGGATGCTATACTTTTAGAAATTGCAAACGGCAAGCAGGTGGAAATCCCTAATCCGTTCTGCTATACAGCCAGGAACTGAGGCTTCTCCTCAATCCTACACCGTCAATAGATTTTGGAATTGCTTGTCAAAATGAATGGTGGGTATGTTTGAGGGTTAAAAACGCTATATAATTATTTTATTAGAGCTAACAAATTAAGAAATAGTTTATTTATAAATTTAAACTCATATCACAGAAGTCCAAAAAGTAATTTTTTTTTTCATTTATAAAGCTATATCTGTTTTTAAAAAATATATGTAGCTTAGATAACTCATTTATTTGACATGTTTTATCAGAATAAGATACTTGTTTACTTACCATTGTAATATAATAATAAGTAATTATCGTAGAAATAATTGTTCATTGTTTAAACAGGGAATTAAAGAAACTTATGGTTCATTTTTTACTGGAGCTTGTGTACCAAGTCTTCTTGACTCCAAAACAGCTTATGAGGTATCTATACATTCAATAATATCATAAAGCATTGTTTGTTTTAATTACTCCAGGAATAGAAAAATTGAGTTCAATCAATATTTGAAAGTTCAATTATTTAGGAATTCTTGTAGTTGTGATTATTTCATTCATATATAACTAACCTGTATTATCATGATCAATCATTATAAAGTAATTAATTATTTTTACTTACTTATTTTTACTTTACTTATTTTGGTAATTGGTAAGCTCATTACTTGAGCTTAGCAAATAATGAGAAATAGAACATCAGCTGAATTTTAGTTTACTTAATTGTATTTTTCTCAATAAGTAATAATTTTAATTTTAATGAAAAATAAAACAAATTTATAAACAATGCTATTCATAGATTCATGGTCAGAAAAAGTATATATCAAGGATTGAGACTCTATTTGCATAAACAGCTAACTTTTGTTTTTAGCTTGTCAACGTAATCTTCATTTTCTATAATTCAATTAAATCTAAATCTATATTTTTCCTTTGTTTCCTTAAAGCCTTAGTTGGATCCCTGACTTAACTTGCAATCATTCCAATGTGCCTTGCAGTCTTCTTTTCTAATCTAGTTGTATATTATGCTCTGCATTTGTGATCTTCTATGACACATCTTTCTCTTTAACCTTTCTTCGTGTCTTTGACTATTTTCAATCTCTGGGCTTTACAAGGTATATGTGATAGTGTACGTTTTTCTTCTATTGGGATTCTGTTTCATTGCTTGTGTCCAGCGAACCGTTCATCTTCAAAATGAGCTTTTTCTTCATTATCCCAATTTGAGTTTCCTTGACTTCTATTGGCGGTAGCTGACTCATTACCAGCTGCTTTGGGTAAGAAGCTGTTGACTATCACATCTTAAGAATCTCCTGATTCCCTGGTAATATACTTTGCAATCTCATCTTAAATTGTTTGAAGACCTTTAGGACCAAGAAAATTCTCCTTCATTATCACTTTCATCCAATCTGCCAGTATTTGTGCTGTAACATTAATTTTCCAACCAATAACCTTGGATTTTTCGAAGCTATTCTATTTGATTTTTTTTTTCTAAATTGTTTACCGAATACTAAGCTCAGATAAATGCTTTGTTAATTTCAGACTTCCATTTAGATCTTATAAGAGCTACTCTTAGTCTCTGTTTCTGTGCACAAGCAGGGATAGCATCCTCTTCCAAGGACAAGTTCTGACTCTCTATGCAACTCTATGCAGTTGATTGCAGTTTTGTAATCTGTCCCTTTCACAATTCCTGAAGAAGACTGTTGAATATTCCTGCCTGATGTAACTTCAGCTGCTCGTCAATGGCAATGACCACATTGGTTATGGGAATTACATTTAACACCTTCTCTCAGGTATGTCTTCAGTTTTCCCTAACATGGAACAGACCCTGATCAAGAAGCCATTCACTATGGGATTTGTCTGTCCTTAAATACTTTCTTTGAATTTGTATTGAATTTCAAGAGTTGGTGTATTTGTAAAAATCAGATTCCCTCAGTTGTTTCATTACAACATCTCCTGATAGTTCAATATTATTTCCTTCAACAATTCTTTCTCTTTTTACATGTACTACAGCCTTTTTATCTATTTCTAGAACCATTTTTATAACGATTGTCATCATCCTTAGTGCTGTCATTAGAGAACTCATTTCATCTTTATTTCTAGTGTAAAGCTTGAGATCATCCATGTAGAATGAATGAGAAGGCTTCTAGATATCTTTCTAGATAAAAGCTAAGTAGATATCTTTTGTCTTTTTCTCCCAATGATATTCAAACTGGACTGGGTACCAAACACAACCAAAGAGGTATGGGTAACACAACCAAAAAGTATGGGGGACCTTGAAAAATACCCCTCTTTACCTTTATAAGTATTGGCACTTATTTCATTTAAAGTTGGTGTACAGAGTAAGACTCTCCAAATCTGCATAAGTTGTTCAAATAGATTTATCATTCCCTGGCTTACTTTTAGGCTTAGATCTACAAAATTTCCAATAACCATATCATGTGGAACTGAATCAAATGCATCATTGTAGTCAAACCAAGACAAATATTACGAGATTTTTTTTTTTTACCTGAGCAGCAATTTATTATGATTATTATTGCTATTATTACATTATATAAGTGTTTATTTTTTTCAGGTGGAAACTTTGAATTGGTTTTACATGATGTCAAAGTATGTTGAATTTTTGGATACAGTAAGTCAATTCATTATAAATCACTCATTTCAGTTATATCACTTGTAAATTGTAATTTAAAGTATTCTTAACTTCTTTAAAAATAAATTAATAAATGAAAATCATAGCTTTAAGGTCTTTCAAGCTGTGCTATCATAATATGACACTTAACGAAGTTCATAAAATATCAATTTTTTTTTTTTAATTTTGGGTTTAACTCTGATAAATAGAGAATAAATATTCCTCGAAAATACAAATACATGCAGAAAAAAAAAAAACATGTTTGGCCACAAGACTACATTAAATAGTACAATACTATGCTCTTGTATTACTAGGTAGAGCATAAATGATGGGTTATTTACATAACTTAGTTAATTATCTGTTTTAGACTGAGTGGTGAAGCCAAATTTATTATCTTGAAATACATTTTTATGCTCAGATACTGAGACCTTTTTATTTATTAATTATTTTTATTCTACTAATTTATTTATTAACAGTAAAGATGAATTATAAAAAATCAAGCCAGTTGAAAAACTGCCAATAAAGCCACTTTTATAAATTTTAATAAACAAGTTTTGTCCTTAAACTGCCCAAGGACCAATAAACACTTTTTCATGTGATAGAGAGAATCCCAGCATTTTAATTAGTTCAGATTGGAAAATAAAATATGACAGTCACTAAAAACATTTTTATATAATAAATAGATATCTGATTTTTAAATTTTGGATTGAATACTGATAATTCAAAATGGGTAGCTATTATATTGTTAATGTATTACATTTAGTGTAAATCATTGGGATTACTTGAAATTAGAATTTAAATTTATTTCTAGCTATTATCCTTTAGTGTAATACTAAATATATTCTGAAAGTTGAAAAGTGTAGACTTTTCTATGTACTATAATTTTCAACTCTTTTAATTTTGCACTGAGATGAGATGATAAGTTTCATATATTATTGATTTCTATAAGTTGAGGGTATTAATGAATTACAATGTTTCATCATAAGTCTGGAGAAAATCAGTAGAAAACACTTATTTTTTAAAATTACAATTAACATAAATAGAAAAAAATCTTACAATTAGAACTCATTAAAACTATGAATAATGTTAATATTTTTTTTAATATTGATTTTTTTACAACATATAATTGTTTAAGTGCCTAAAGGTTTCAGCCACTTCTTTCAGTCTTGCCAGTTTTCTTCTTAAATACCTCTGGTAGCCATGCCTCCTCCATATCCTGTAATCATCTCTTCATTTTATTCACATTTTAAGAAATTAGAAAATACCAAAATGAAAGTATTGGCATCTGAGCAGTTCTATTATCTTTTAATATTTGTTTCAGATTTTCTTCATATTAAGAGGGAAATGGAATCAAGTTACATTTTTGCATGTCTACCACCATGCAAACATGGCAATATTTACTTGGGTTTTCGTTAAATACATAAGTGGTAAGGAAAAACCTAATGTTTATATTATTTTATTTATCAATTCTCTTTGTCCTGGGAAATTTGATCACTCTTTTAAAACACAGCCATTCTCTTCTTGAAACCAGAAATCAAAATTGGTATTGATTGAGTTTTATGCAACATTTTTTATATACATATCTCTCTCTCTCTCTCTCTCTCTATATATATATATATATATATATATATATATATATATATATATATATATATATATATATGTATGTGTGTATGTATGTATGTATTCTTAGTTTAAAGCGAGTAACTAGAGGCTATAAAAGAAAAAAATTGTTACTCGTGTTTTAATAAATAGTAGATATGCCAAGGTCAAAAAGTTAAGAAACATTGGGTAACTTCATTACTTTATCATGATTAACGAACCCTCTTCTTCACAGAGGATGAATATAAAGTCTTCTGACTGTTAATAATCCAATTTGAAAGTTAACTATTTTTTATTTAATAAGGAAGTATAAACTTTTAAGAATTTTCTCTTATTCATAAAGTAATCAGTGTTGTTTAAACTAAAATTGAAAACATTTAATATGGTATATTTTCTTCTTTTGCTTAATTTATTAGTCTGTCCATTTGAAGGACAATTATTTACAGTTTTTCTACATAAATATTTTTTTAAATCGGTGTTCCATTTAACTTAAAATTTAATTTAAAATCATTCATAAAATATAAATATTGAACTAAATTAACATTGAAACAAACCAATAACTAAACTTTTTGTGATAATTACAGGCATCCAAATTTTCATGATAGCTCTATGTAATAGTTTTGTCCACGCTGTTATGTATGGTTACTATCTTCTTGCTGCATTAGGTCCTCAAGTAAGAAGGTTTCTTTGGTGGAAAAGATACATCACTAAACTTCAAATTGTAAGTTTTTTTTTAATATTTAGAAATATAATTACCATTAAAAGGTGTCCCTTTATTTTTAAAACAATTGATTAAGCCTGGAAATAGAGTAAAATATTTTAATTATATTATATTTAATATGCAGAAACATAATTTGGATAGAATAGCTCATCCTTACCTGGTACCATCATTGGCTAAAAACAATACCATAGTTCCAAATCCAAGATCATTCATGGCACTGGATTTTTTTTGTTTTACTAGTATAATTATCAGGATAAGCTAATCTTTTATTTTTAAAATAAAGAATGAGGTCCAGAAAGTAAATATGTGAGAAATTAATTTGTGTATTGCTTTGGATTGAGGATGATCGATAGGTAATTAGAATAAATTCCATGAAATATATACTTAATGGACTAAGCCTTGAAAAAGAGAAGTTTAAGATGGCCTTGCCATAGGTGGACTGGAGTACTAGGGGACAGAGTATTGCTTGCTACCTGACTTACTTTTTCTGGTCTGTATCTCAGAAGAAAAGCTTTCGGCCCACAATCTGCTAATGGTGTAATCAAGACAAACTTTTGTCTATTTGAGGATTCAAAAGAAGGCCGTTACTCCAAAAATGGTATCAGAAAAACGTCTACTGGAAAACAGATGGAACTATTTCTCCTTATTAAAAATAGAATTGACCAATAGAAAAGCCAGAAGGAGTGGAAGGGAAAATTAAAGAAGAAAAAAGTATTTTTTTTTGGTGGAAAGGGGGAAAACTCAGGAAGATCCTGGGAGATGGTTACCCAGTGTAAAAAAGTCAGTTACAGAGGGAGCCGCTGGCAATGAGTTCAGTTAGAGGATCACAGGATGAGTTAGAGACTTTCTTATGTATCATGATTTTTCTTTGTGAAACTAAGAAAAGACTAAGCCTGAAAGGCTCTGCCCAACTGAAGTTGGTAAAAGTACAAAAGTGAAAATTTATCAACCATGCCTTTCGTCATGGCCATCATGATTAATGAACTATCAATAGGATATTTGGGTCATGCTCCAACATTTATAACATTGCATTCTATCCCTGTTTTCTGGGAAAACTAAAAATAGTGTATCAAATATTTAAGAACGACAACTATAACTCAACAGAGTGTTGAAATTAGATTAAACTATATAACCATCATTATTGTATTAAAAAATCTGATACGCGCAACACACAACTTACACTTACCACTCAACTTTGAATAGAAATTATTTTCTGGCCATGTTGGGCTATTGTAAAACGTTTGAATTGCATTTTTAACTGAGCTAAAGCTAAAAGCTTGCAGCTAACAATCATAAATTCCATTAAAATAACAAAAGGCCTATTTATTATATCACAGATTGATTATGGATTGTATAATCCGTTGATTATGGATTGTATCCGACTATTAGTTATTAAACTGTTATTTTCCATTGCAAAGTTTACTAAAATGGAATTAGGAGATTTGTATTATCTGTCATAGACACATCAAAAAGTTGTCACACTAATTGCAAGTGGGTACTGTTGGAATATCACAAAGGAAAAATTCATCAGTTTATTCACTAATTTAATTTTCTAAAGCGTTACATGATGATTTTTCGGAATAAACGGACAATAGATACCTAATTATTTAAATATAAAAACAGATCTACAGTTATTAAACTACAGTAAATATATTTAAGGGCTTAAACATGTCCATGAAATATTTTTATATTTTACTTCTTCTTTCACACAACTACAATGAAATAGTTTTTTAAACAAGGTTATTGCCTTGATTAAGTGGATTTTAAATACTGTTTTAAAACTTAAATATATTTTAAATGTTTACATTATCTTCGTAAATTTCATTTAATTTTCTTGAAAACATGTGATTTACGTTAAATAATATTAGTTTTCAGAAATTATAATTTATATATTTTTTTTTCACTTTCTTATGCTTTTTACAACTTTATTTATTTGATATTATTTTTCCTAAAATTCTTTGCTTTCCAATGAACAACATATTGTACGTAGACATTGTGACTGTCATTTCGGGAGATTCATTTTTGAGCTGGATAAGCATATTTCTTTTTTTCTCTTTTATTCAATTATCAAATTATTTCAAAAGTTATATTTAGCATTTTTTCGTAACTCTTAATAATGAAAGACAGTTAATTATTTAAAATAAACCATATTAAAGGTATTTCAGTGGAAGACGTATATGAACATCGGATATTTAAGCCCTGTAAAGTGACATCAATGGGGATAAGACCTAGATGATATTAAAGACCACTTAATTGTACAATGATACACTGAGTTTAATCAAAATCGTTAGAGCCATTTTTGATAAAATTGTAAAAATATGTTTCATCATTGATATAAAGTGGCACTTCTGGCGAGCCGATTTTTATAAAAAAAGTTGCTATAATGTACAAGGTATATAAAAACCTTAAATATGAAATTTCACTATTGTGCGACTTTTCATTTTTGAGCTAGACTATTCACAAACATACACACACACAGACCATTTTGAGGGACTTGGTTATTTGGACTCAGGAGACTTTAAAACATGTATTTCTGTTGAAAACTCAGAGTCAAAAATTTTCATGATCCCAATATTGTCCCTTACTATATATTTCATATATAGGTATGTGAAAGTATGTTGGGTTATTGAAGAAAGACTAGTTGGATTCACTGAAAATAAGTAGAAAATGTTATACCAACAGTTTAACCATGGAAAGATTTGAGCTTCATTCAATAAAACAAAATGATCTTATTTTAGTTTCAATAAAGCTAAATTTACTATCTTTTTATAATATACTTTACGACCTTTTTGTTTTATATATTTATTTACACAAACTTTTGTTGTTGAAATAATATAAATCAACTTTTGAAGTTAGTTCTTGTTGCTAAAATATTTTTTTCTTCAAATAGTATTTAATTCAAGAAAAATATGATGTAAGTAAAACAATAATAAATAATAAAACCAAACTTAATAACACAAACATATTTTGAATTTAAAAAATTGAACTTAAAAATATTAGGAACACCTTAAAGAATAAAGCTTATACAATGATAATCTAAAGTTTTTACAATTACAACACAAATTGAATCCAATTTTAAATATTTCCTTTGTAACAAGGCAACTTTGTTTTGCTTCAGTTTGAAATTTGGGAAAAATCAGATTCGTCTAAATATGTTTCATCGCCCCCCTCCTTTTTTGTCTGATCTTCCATACCATCTTCATATTTATTAACATATTTAGCATTATTGATAATGTAGAAATAGTCGACTTAAAATTTTTATTTATGTATTGTGTGTTCACTGTGACTGCAACTCCCAACTAACTTTTCAACCATATTATATTATCCTATCTCTTAAGTTTCAAAATTACTATATGAAAGAAAAGAATGTTTCCATTTTTTTTAATTTTGTTAAAACCAATGGCTTATATTTATCAACAGGTACAGTTCGTAGCAATCATCAGCTTCATGGTGAACCTACAGGTACAAGGATGCGATTGCTCTCCATGGTTTATACTGTTCTCAATCTGCAATACCTCGTCTTTTCTTGTTCTCTTCTTATGTTTCTATGCTAAAGCTTATACAAGCAAAACAAATGTTGACTAAAAGTTTTAGCTATTATATATTAGATCTATCTATTCTCATGGACTCATTCGACAAGAATAAATCCATTAATTATTTTTTATAAATATTTTAAATTCTTATTTATTTAAATTTAAATTATTTTTAAATGTATCTTTTTGATAATAATATTGCTTTGACTTATTTAATTGTATAATTAAAAGTATCTGAGTTTTTAAAGCAATTTTTGTGATATATTATATAATGTTATGTAAAGTAACTTTTAGTGATAATTTCAATATTTAATTGCAGTGTAATATAACTAAGAATAATTACAATTATTACTATTATGAAATTATTGAGGAAACTAATGCTTGCTCACACTAATATGACAGCAGGAAATGGGAATACTCCACAAAAAGGAATGAAACTCTTTTCCTTCCCCACATTAAATTCAACCAGAACCTAAAAACTGTTGAACTATAATTGAAATGTAATTTGTGATGTTTCTAAAATGATGCACATTCATATTTGTTTTCATTGTTGGAAACAATCTGAATGAAAACAAGAATTAATAAACAAATGGATATTTATGAATTTATTTTAGAAAATGTTTGCATAAGTTTCATTTTGCTATCTTACATACCTTATAAAGTTATTGGAGGGCGAGTATTAGTTTCAACATGTCTCCATAAGACTGCCATATTCTTGTAGGCTAGCTATAAACTATTGTAAATTTATTACAGGAGTATGTGTCATTTTAGCAAGTGTATATATAATGCAACATATGTAAATAATATAGATATGTTATAGATATAGATATGTACATATTGTGACATGTTATAGTATCTTATTAAACTCCTTTTAATGTAATAATAAACTTTATATATTAATAAATTTTATATACATATATATTTGACTTTGGAAAACCAATAGATCTTCAAACATTTTCTTGGAGGATACCTCTCATATATATATCTCATATTTATTCCTAAGTCATATGATTATTGGTGATATTCTAACACATTCTTTAAACCTTGGTAAGGCGAACTTGGAAAAGCTATTTTTCAACTCTTGTAAGCATTATTTGTTTTAAAAATAAAATAACAAGTAATCTTTGTTTTCAGTATCCCCTAAAATTAACCTGAACAATATATAATTCCTGCAGAATGAATGGTGGATCAAACTAGTGCCCTGGCAATCGCCACGGGGCACCGACGTGGAAGGGCGCCCATTGGTGGCACTGGTCCATCTTCAGAGGAGCTCGCCACTTGTTAGAAAAAATACCAAAACGTATTCAAATGATTAATTTTAGCATATCAATAAAGCAACTGTATTAGAAAACTTTTGATTGAAATAAAATTCAAATATTACATAATATACAGCAGCTAAAGAAATAAATTTAATTTTTTTAGAGGGGGAAGAGGAGATGACGTCATTGCCCATGCATGTCAAATTTGATCTAAGGCCGTCACTGGATCAAACAAGTGTCTAAATTATAGAATAAACAACAAATGAAAAAACACCTATATGTGTATTTTTTTTTTCATAAGATAAAGTGTAACCAGATGCCCACAGGCCAGTTTGAGAATCCTACTCTTTCTAATCTTTGTTACCATTTCACAAAACTTCTGTCAGGCATTACTTCATGGAGGAGGAAGATGGTTTTGTGCCTAGTTGTCTATAGTCTTCATGAGGCCTTTGTCTGATATATTTTGTCTTGCTACTATGCTCAATCTCCTTTATTGAATTAGAAGAAAGAAGAATCAGAGAATGTTTTGGAATTATTGTAATACTTCTACTAAAATTCATATTGCTGAGAGGCAAGAGAGGACAAAAATAATTACATAAAATTTTATGCTCTGAGTATAGTACCAATTCGTGCTGCTCAGTCTGCTGTAACAGCACTCCAACTCTTCTGCTTAGTTGGACATCATCAAACCAACTAAGTTTTCTAGGACTTACTTCTGTCCAAGGGTTATGTCTAGCTTCTCCTCTTTGATTAAATTTTTGCAGCTTTAGAACATGTGTTTTACTGTTCCATCCATCGGAAGAAGAGGAGAGACATGAGCAGGGCAAGATAATTCCTCTTCTAGCTTGAAGTGTTTTGACGGTTTCGTTTACTACTGAACCAAACAATTTATTTGCCTTTTATTTACTCAATTTGGTATTATCCAGTCCTTGTTCTAAATATTTATGGATAAATTCATAATAGCCAATATATAATCAGCATAAGACTACCTCTTATGTCCTATATCATAACTCTTTTTTTTCTTTTTATCTTTCATGAGTAATATGTTTTTTAAACAATAAAAAATATTAAACAAATAAATTAAACTTTCAAATGCTATCATATAACATAAAAAATGTCAATATCATATTGTTCTAAGTAGTTTTTGATGAAAATGTCAATTAATTAAATTTTATTCTTTCAACACTCTCGGTCCTGATGGTCCTCCTGGAAGGATGCTGTGCATTTTTTCGCATAGTTGGGTAGTCATTTTAAAAGGATGCTCTGTGTTTCGTTTTTATTCCAGAGGCTCAGGTCAAAACTTTTTTGTAGAAGATACCTCCTAACTTCTAATTTAAAAGAGCACATTTTGTTGATTCCTTCTTATTCCAGATATACATATAGACTTTTTCTAATACTGTCAATACCCTTCGGTACTCTTTGAGCTTTAAAAGAACACATTTCGTTTTTAAATCGGCAGTTTAGTAGTTGTTTTGAGAATTTTTATAACACAAAATATCAATAAAATTTTTTTAAAGAAATAGGCTCCAGGCCATGAGGTATTCCCTAAAAACGAAGCATGTACCAAAAGTGTTAATTCCTCCATAAAGGTTAGCTGACGTACACAGCTAGTGAGAATCAATGCCCCACTGGCCTCCTAAGCTTAGTACACAAACAATATACAACTCACATACTCCAACACAAGTTTATCCACCACCATACATACCCTAGAACCACATTTCCTTTCCTTTCTACCCTGGACGGGAGAGCTAATCGGTTTGCTTTGAGGAGCCCCTCTACTTGACCTGGGGGGGGGGGCAGTGGGCTGATAACTGTTCCCTTAAAATAAACTTTATTACAAATGCTCTACAAACATTACCCAGACCAATAAACAGGAAATGACATGGTGCTCGCCAACTTGACTACAACTTTGCTTTGTGGGACATTTTAACTCTATACAGACCTATACAAATACTCCTGAACATTTTAAATACTCGTTCAAAAAGACATAGTTTCCACCCAAGAGATCAGGTGGACTAGACAAGCGAATCTTAAGAAAGGCCAACACACTGTCTATTGCAATTGCCAAGAGAGACTTCATGTGCTTGGGACTGGATTTGTAGGTAAAAGATTGGCAGTAAAAGACATTAAACTAATTGATTCCATATACTGTGCACCAAAGAGAAGTTCTTCATTTTCATTCTCATCTGTGTAGATGCACCTACAGAAGTCTCAGATGATCATTTGGAAGATGATTTCTACGAAGAGATGGAGAAATGTTTTAATGACTGCCCTGCTCAAGATATGAAAATAGTGGTTGCAGATTAAAATGTCCTACTTGGGAAAGAGAAAGCCTTTAGGCCAACAAGAGGGATATTTGACCTTCATGAAAACTTCAATGATAATGGCGATAGTGTGATGAATTTTGCAGCCTCAAAGAGCCAAACAAATTAGTGCGCTTGGAAAATTGGATGGAACAGGTGTGTTACTAGCACTCATATTGATGATATCCTTGCAAGTACCAGATATTATAGAGGTGTTTTAATAAAATACAATGTTGAGAAGTTAAAGGACAGGGACTATAGATTCACAGAGAAGTTGGATGCCAAATCAATGGATTCTGCCCCAGAAGCAAATCTTGTAATTTAAATTGGCTTTGTTAAGTCCCCTACTAAGTCATTGTTTATATTCTAAAAGTGAATTAGTACCCATCAAAGTGGGTACACATGATGGAGTAAATAGAGAAAGTTTCATAAAATTTAATTTCTACTTAAATATTCTATTTAAGATAATTATGATCAACATTATAAATGGGGAACTAATGAAACTACTAGTAGTTACAAATGAACGATTTTATTGAAAATATTTACATAAAAAAAAACATTTTTTAATTTTCAGACATAATTTTTGTAAAAACAGTTCGTTTCATTATCAAAACTCAGAAATTTACATCAATATCACAACTATCAAATATTGTGATGTAAATATTGGAGAATAACGGCCTTCCACAATAAACACAACAATTTTACACATAATATATACATGAAATCACAAGATACAGTAGCACAGCTGAGATTACTTAGCTCCATTTATTATATTAGCAATGTTCACATTTGGACCAGTTAGAATGAGAGTAGTTTAATCCATTGTTTTGAGAAGTTGATTTTTTTTTGTACTTCCAAGGAATAAAATTTGAGTTTTTGTCTTATATTTTAATCATCACTGAACAAAAATATTATTTTTTTGTTTATACCGAAACCTTCCCAGAATGTTATTTTATTAAAAAATAAATTTTCAGCACATCCAAGTCAATCTGTCAAAGCAATTTTAAAGATAAATCTACAGTTCTTCAGATTTCAACCACTATCATTTTACAACAATTTTCAATGGTTTGTGTACTCAGAGCACATTCATTCCAATTAGCCCATATCTCATTTTGTCATCACATTGAAGTTATATTTATCCTACTTATTAATTTTTTTGGTTTCATTGATTACCCTGTAGTTCACTATTTCACAAATAAAATAAGTTTATTTTAACATGTTTGTACCAAACAAGTCATTTTTCCTTATGATTATTTTAGCAAAAACATGTAAACTTTTTTCAAAGGATTTTTACAGTGCTTAAAATCTCTATTCATTTATCATAGTCATATCAGTTATCCGACTTCTTAATATATGAGTAACATATATCAATAGTCCTGTGAACCAGAGTATAATTGCTATATTCTATTTCTGAAAATATTCATCTAAATATATATTTATAAGAAATACAGTAAATGCAGGTTCTCTAAAGAGAACTATCATTAGCAACATTTTGATAAATATTTACACAATAAGTACATACTGTACAAAATTAACATTAGCCTAAAATTTTTATATTTAAGATGACTTGGTTTTATTTATTTCTTTATTTAATTTATTCTGGATGTAAGCTTTTCTGTAGAAATTCATAAAGAGAATAAGGAACACAGTTGCTTGGAAAACAGCATAGTAAGTCAGACCTTTTGGAAATTGGCAGTTCTTTATCAACAGGTAGGCACAATAGCTTAGTACAATAATAAACTGGCCCTGAAAAAAAAATATCCTGATGTTATTTACAAATTTCATCCAGAAAAATAACTCTTAATGTATAAATAATTAATTAAATATTGAATGCAGTCTTTTAAACTAAATTTAATCAGAAAATGTTAATGTATAAATTTTTAAAAAAAGTTCATATAAAATTAGTTTATTGTGATAAATCATCTTGATATTTTAAATTTAATAATAATATACTTTTTTTTCTTTTTTATATCAACAATGCTTACCAGCTGAATCTTGGTGATGTATTTTTTCCACCATAAATACTTCTGTACACGAGGTCCAAACGCAGCTAATAAGTAGTAGGAATACATAACGATATGAACAAAACTATTTATGAAGCCTATCAATAAACCTTGTTCCCCTGTAAAACAATGTTGAGGCAATTAGGCTGAACTAATATAACATATATTTAATTAAATATACAGTAAGAAATAATAAAAGTATCCTGTTTTAAAAATGTCTGGTATTTACATTAAATATTAAATAAAATAGAATCATATATCATATTCAACTTAATTAACTTTTTAATATATTATGCATAATGTAAACATTATCACTGATCAATAAACTGAATATTTATTTAATAGTTATAAAATCCCTTGTTGTGAGACAAGGGCTTTACATGAAAAATGCAAAGGAACATTTCAGTCCATATTGAGTTTTGTTGAAAGAATTCATTAAAAAGACAGATTTTGAAAATTGTTTTATTAAGTTCTCAGATTTTTTTTAGATATCCAAGAATAAAAAATTATTATTGTATGAGAGAGATTGTTTTTTTGTTTTGTTTTTTTATGACCTCTAGTATAGTTACTTCACTTCTATAAAGTTATAAATCAGCCAACAGCTTTGAGGAATGTTTATGGAGATGAGGGATCTGCTTATTTATTCACTAAAGAAGGTTTTTGATATTTTTAGTGAGTGAAGAGTTATTTTAGTGAAGCACAATCTTTAACTAACTTCTAAAAAATGATAATGAAATATATGACTAACATATAAGAATATATGTGTACTAATCACTAACAATAATAGAAACCAATGTCAAAATTGTGGTAAAGGACACTTAATTTATACAAATCTATTTTTATTATCAAATTTTCAAATTAATTTAATGTATAAATTAATACCCTTCAAAATCTTATATAGAATTTAATTTGAAACCTAGTTATTTATTGTCACTTCCTATGCTTATATTCTATATATGACTGTTTAATTATCAAATTTTTACCTCTTATATACTTTAGATATGCCCAAGTTGAAACAACCATGTTAGCATGATGATACACATGCAGAACAGTAATTTGATTTTGTTTTTTCCTTAGGACAAAGAATACCTAAAAATGCATTAAGGATTTAATTGTCATGCATAATAAATTTAAAATTTCAGTTTACATTTGTTGAGAAAAATTACTTTATTATATTTTATTTATAACTGTATAAATGTTATATCTATTTTATTAATGTGAATAATTTTTAAAATATAAATAAACATAAAAATAAAGGTGGCAACACTGATTGGAACCAATGAAAAGCATGTATATGCTTACCTTGTGTCAGTTCGCTATTGGCATTCATTAGAGTAATATTAAATCTCGCCTGTTATTGTTTTAGTACCCTATGATTCCATAACAATATTGAGAGAGAAAAATTCAGAAAAAATATTACAAAATTTTAATCGAAATGAATTAACCAATAATCATCATTAAAAAAAATTCCATTAAAATCTATATTATATCTCATACTGTATGGAAAGTGATAGGAAGAAAATAATAATAAAAAACGAGTAATTACATTATAAATGACCATAGGTTTTATTATTTTACCCAACAGTAGAATTTATTTCATGACAGGAAACCTGATCATGGAAGCCACAACATCTAATATTCTATGATTAAACAATCATAGCCATTATTTAGTTGTGCAGATTGCATCTGTTCACTTAGAAATTTTAGTTTTAAAATTATGTATATTTTGCCAACTACCATTTCTTGTTGATTACAAGACATCATATTAGAGAGTATAATTCTGTTCCTTTGTTTCTAATCTAACAAGATAGAGAATTTTCTGTAATCCATTCTTTAGAAGCAATGACATGGAATATGTCAAATGCTATGATAGACTTTGCTTAAAAAATAAGATGACCAAAACTTCTAGATTGATCCTTGGAACTCCTGCAATATGTATGTTGCCAATGGAGATAGAGCTGGTACTGAATCTCTTATTACCAGCTAAGAATAGCCCGTAGAGAACACTCTTTAAAGTTTAACCAAAAGTGATATCAAGTATTTGGAAAACTATCCAATTTCTACACAAGAACTTGAAACACAGGATCCTTTCATGAAGAAAGAAAGAGAATTTTTTCACATGTGGATTAAAATTTTGCTGATTGAGGAAGATGCCTGCCTAAGCGGCTAAACTCAAACCACTTAGCGGGGAAGTCTTAACAGTAGCTGACTAAGACTATCTCCTAGGAGATTTGACCGGAATTGGAGTAATTTCTGACAGAGCTTTTAAACTAATGGCATTAGCTGCTAGTGAAAATTAAACTACCCTAATTATTAATCTGAATAGAAAATAAATATAAAATTTTTATGAATATCAAGCATGGAAACATTGGATAAATGTACACCTTGGATATGAGACTATATTTGTCTCTTAGCCCAAAGGTTTAAAAAGAAAATTTGAGAATTTAAATGCCAAAATGATGATGGTTCTTTGATCCATTAGAAGATTCATAAAGTGAAAAGTAAATATAGGCTGTATATATCCATTATGTTTTTTATGAAACTATTACAATAATATAAAGTAAGGCTATGTATGTTATTTCACCACATTTATTTTCATTTTACATTGGCTACGTTTCGGCTACGATGCCATTTGATTTAATGATGCTTCTTATATATAGTCCATAATTGGATTATAGCCGATTGTCAATATAATCCAATTATGGACTACATAAGCATCATTAAATCAAATGGCTTGAAAATCGCATCCAAGCCGAAACATAGCCAATGTTAAATGAAAATTGTGGTGAAATAACATACATAGCCTTACTTTATATTGCTATATATATCATTGATATTTTTAAAGTTTATGTAATTTTAAATTACTTACTGTGTCAAGTAATTCAAACATTTTTGAAACAAAATAAAACCAGGAATTTGAATTCATCTGAAAATAAAAATAAATTATTAAATTAAACTTTCAGTTTCCTCCTTCACTTCAAAATAAATACACTTTGTATTTTACAGCATCCAATACTTCAAAAATCTAAAACATTGTGGTTCATAAATAAAAACTATTAAATTTAAAATCCATTTATATAAATAATATAATATAAAGAACTAATATAATGATTTGGTATGTGAATTAAAAATTCACATTCTTTAAAAAGAAATTACACATTTTTTATAATTGAATATTTTGTTATTTACATGTATAATCAGGTAAATAATAGAAGGACAACTAATTGAAAAAGTTGAGGAGTTCATATACTTAAATCATAGGTGAAAGGAATGATAGATACTGTTGTGGAAAAGCTGCAAACCAGTGCAATTTTACACAACAGAAAATCTCCAAAGGAACCTTATATTGAAGCCTTCATAAATTGGGTTTCATAAAACACTTATCCAGCCTATACTGACTAATGGTTCTGAAACATGGATTCTCACGTAAGCTCAAGAAGCTTAGTTTTAAAATAAAAAAAAGTTCTAAGTAAAATAAACAGGTAATTTTTTTTTAGAATTGTGTATGGAGGAGAAGGACTAACATAGAACTGAAAGTTCTATAAGGTGGTTGATGTAATCCAACACATTAAAACTAGGAATGTTATGCTGGGCTATGCATATTGTGAGGATGGGGGGGGGTAAGGGATTCCTACTCCAGGAGAAAATGTTTGAAGTTTTTCGTACTGGCAGATCATGACTTCGCTGAGAAGATTGCGTTGCTTCAGATACCAGAGCTTCATTTCATGACAGTAATTTGAAGATAGGAACATTTAATAGAGAAAGGTGGCAGTTGATACTGAAGCAGACCAAGATTAGACTTTGAGGATCATAGATAGAAATAAAAAACAATCTTAATAAAAGTTAGTTGTGTGTTATATTCATTGAAGTACACAAAACATTACTTTATCTCTTTGTGCCGACGTTTTGGCCTTCATCAAGACCAAGCAAAGATTAAAAAAACAATGTTATGATATGAAGAAATAGAAAGAAAAGTTAAAATTGTATTTTATCTTTTAAAAAATAAATACAAAGAAGCGAATAAAAATTACGTAATGTAAGATAAATATATGTGGCTGTAAATTATGATTTTATTTACAGTTCCTATCAAGATAATTGTAGACGCCTTCTGATTTGCAAAATCAATTATGAACATATATCTCTTTTCTAGGACATATTTAAATTTAAGATATAGTATAATATGCTTCTCCCGGTTTTCAATCCCAGTAGGAGATCTTCTATTTTAATTCCTATATACGATATGAACTCTAATTATAACTTACTTTATAGACAAGATGATTAGTGTGCCTACTTTTCGGAGCACACTGATATTGGTATATATAGGACATGGCATCTGGATCACCAAGAAGCTAAAACAGTAAGGATAACAGTCATAAATGTTACTAAACTTGATTAGTTTATTGAAAATAGAACCAAATATAAAAATAAATAAATAAATTAAAACAACTTTTTAAAAACTTACCATAACTGGACATAAGTCACTGAAATTTAGAAAACTATATTGTTCAAGTGACAAAATATAAGTTACAAATTCTCTAATAATTAAACAATCAGTCGAATTTTGTCTATGTTCAACAAAAAATATTTACGGTAAAAGCACTAGGTTTTTAGTTAGCTGACAGTGTAAAATGGGAACAATAAGATTTCAGGACCTCCTAGACCTCTATTCAATAAATTTTTGGTTTCCATATTTTCTCCTTGCATATTTGCCTAATTTGCTTATCTTGCTGAAAACCATAACCAAAATAATGGGTCTCAAATTAGGATGGTCTCTCAGAGTTCAATTAGTGACCTAGGAACAACCATCTATCAATAAGGGAATACCTTTTCTTTTTAACTAATTAATTTATCCCAATATTTTGGTTTTATTTTTTCTTAGAGTGTTTTTGGATTGTGTTTTATCTGTTTTTAACTTATTTTATGAAAATAAATTAGAAATTTAACTAGTATCAGCTACTAGAGCTTATATTGGGCCTTTTACTATTAGCTCACATGCCTATACTCATTTAAATTTTAATAGATAAACTCAATATAGTAGGTCATAAAAATGTGACCAATCAATACTATGTGGTTAAAAATAATATAAAATTATTAGGGATTTGGATTGAAAACAGTGCAAAAATAGGTTTGTCAAAGAAATTTCCTTAAGCATTTACCCTAGTTAACATATTTCTGAGAGTGTAAAATCTTTACAGATGAAAAAAAAATCTTTGAAATACAGAAAAATCTTTGAATGTTCCTTTTGATTGCTAGATGATCTATTGATTTCAAGATACATGAAATTCCATTAGTTAACTTTTTGACAATATTAGTGAAGAGAGGACATTTATGCTATCCTCACAGTCAACTTTATGTGTCCCTTATTTTGCACTCACTGTTATAGTCTCTATCTCAAAAACTATAGTCGATAAGATTTATGAAAAGAATTTATTCTAGTTTAATTTTATATATGGCTTTTTCTTGACTAAACTTCATGATTATCTAGCTATTTTGGAAGAAATGTAAAGAATGATCTATAAATGATCCCCTCCTAATCAGGATCTTTTAGTATGTTCTGCAGGATACAAGCAGAAGCAAGAGTGCCATATTTCAAAATTTTAGTTTTCTGTAGTCCTATTTTTGCTAAATTGACTAGACTGTTGTCAGAATGGGTTCTGCAGTGAGACAGTTTTTAGTTCCACTAAACCCCCATAGCTTCCAGTAGTTTTAATATAAATAAGCAAGGGAGTGAATCAGGGAGTTTTACTGTAGCACTAAGACTCAATAAAATAAATTCTCATAATACCTTAACTTAATTTTATAAATAAAATAATAGTTCTAAATTACTTTAAGTAAGCAAACTATAAAAAACAAGAGATAATGCATGTTTATTTTATACACAAAACTGCCACTATACCTGCCAACATAGCCAACTCGAAAAAACGACATTGCATAAATTGTAGACTATCATAACATATTTTAGATTGAATGGTTTTCGACCTTCCATCAGCTTAGGCCCCAAATAAAAAATAAAGTAGAGGTAGCCCGCTAAAATGAGGGTGACTGGGGTTCCATTAGACATCATCAGCCAACCATCTACAACTTTATCTGTAACAATAATTAGAATTTTAGACAAACTTCTTTTTATATATATATATTTGTTTTTTAGTTTCATTTTGCAATATATGTGGTATATAATAAGGGAAAGTATTGTGTTTGTGATAGTTTTTAAATCTGAGTTTTCAATGGACCAAATAACCAATTCCTACAAAATCATCTGTGTGTTCATATGCACATCCTAGCTCAACAAAAACTCCTACTAAACTGATAGAATGTATTTAAGATAGGTATCTACCTGGGATGTTAAAGTAAATTTTTCCTGAAAATCAGATAACTGCAAGAGCCACTCTATATCATTGATTTATTGCTTATATATATATATATATATATATATATATATATATATATATATATATATATATATATATTGATTTAAACAATGTTCTCAAAAATGTCTCTGACGATTTCAGTTAAACTCAGTACATCATGTATAAATAAATAGCCTTTAATACCAGCTAGGTCTTATTCTCATTAATATTAAATAATAGGACTTAAATCCCCAATGTTTGAATTTTTTCCTCTGAAGTATCTTTAGTTTTATTTAATTAAAATAATTACCTCTCTCTCATTGTCAGTAGCAATAAAATTTGCTAAATATAAAGTTTGAAAGAATTTGACAAGAGACTAAAGGACTAAAGGAGGAAAAAAAGAAAAAGTTTTTTCAGGTTGAAAATAAATTTCATGAAATAATAATCAGGACATATAATAATAATTAATAATAATAATAATAATAAATAACAAAGCGAACCCGAAGTTTTTTTTCTAAACCAGTAGGGTTTCTAAAGTAAGATTACATCAACAAAATCTGGTATTTTGTAGTGATTCGATCCGAAAATAAGAATGAAGCATGTATTGTACATATTATACCATGAAATGTATATTTTTTGTCACAAAGAAAGATGATATTCGTTTTTCGCCCCTATAAAAACCCGTAAATTAGAATTGCAGTTGGAAAATTAAATTTTTTGTGCAAATGTTTTGCCTTCCATTAAAAGCTATTATGAGATTCATCTATGTTTATAGCTTTTTAGTAGATATTACAACCGTTGAATATATTAAAATATTGAGGATATTTTTATGGAAATAGAAAACAAAAATCTGGTGCGCGCAATACACAACTTTCACTTACTGATCTACTATGAATAGAAATTATTTTCTGGCAATGCTGGGCTATTATAAAATTTTTTGAAGTGCATTTTAAACGGAGCTAAAGTTTAAAGCTTACAGATAACAAGTCATTAAGACCATTATAATTACAAAATGTCTATTTAATATATCGACGACTAGCAATAAAAATCTAGTCACTCCATCTGCTTTTATAAACCACACAACTTTCTTTGCTTTTATAAACCTCAGAATGACTAACTCCAATTTCAACATTTTTGAGTGATGTCATTTTAGTGATATTTTTAGTTGTCTATGGAGAATATGAGTAAGTTGATTCCGGAGGTGGTGATTGCAGTGTTGAAATATAGAACTGAGAATAAAGGTATAAATTTAGGTACTTATTTCTTATGAAAAATGTTCTTATGAAAGATACTTTATTAAATATCTGTAGAACAAAGTTTTTTTTTTAGTCTCAACAATTAAAAAAGTATATTTCAAATTTATCCAAATTTTCGCCTCTTCAGGAAAAAAAACTAGAGACTATATCTTTCCTCCTAATTGTCCGATCTCAACGATTTTTTTTTTTTTTGATTTTTTAGAAAATTCCAGAAACATTTAAAAAACCATAATACAATATCGCCAAAAAAAGTGTATACTTTTGGAGTTATTCGGAATTTAATTTTACCATCCCTCGTAACTTTTTTTCCAGCTTCTTTTCGTTGAAGTATGTTATATAGATAAATTTAAAGGGTGTCGAGAAAATGACTTTAGCGAAGTTTCATTGAAATCTGTACATTCGTTTAGGCGCTACAGTCTATAGCAACGCAGGTTTTTCTGCATTGTTATTTTTTTTCTCCTTAACTTATCAAAAGTTCAAAAGTTAGCATTTTTTCGTAACTTTGAATAATGGGAAATGATTAACTTTTTAAAATAAACCATATTAAAGGTACTTTAGAGGAAGACGTATATGAATATTGGGCATTTAAGCCCTGTAAAGTGATATCAATGGGGATAAGACCTAATTGATATTAAAGACCACTTAATTATACAATGATATACCGGATTCAATCAAAATCGTTAAAGCCGTTTTTGAGAAAATTGTAAAAATATGTTTCACCGTTGATATAAAGTGGCACTTCTGGCAAGCCGATTTTTATAAAAAAAGTTGCTATAATGTACAAGGTATATAAAAACCTTAAATATGAAATTTCACTATTGTGCGACTTTTCATTTTTGAGCTAGACTGCTAACATACAAACACACAGACCATTTTTCGGGACTTGGTCATTTCGACTCAGGGTACCTCAAAACGTGTATTTCCGTTGAAAACTGAGATTCAAAAATTTTCTCGATCGTAATACTTACCCTTACTATATATTACATATATACGTAAGTGAAAGTAATAAATACCATAAATAAAAATATAAATATTTCAACATTCATGGATCTCATAAGAGCTATCAATAGAAGGCAAAATATTGAGCAAAAGATTCTCCAGACCGGTAGGGGGGTGTAACCAACTGCCTATTTTGTATTCAATACATGCGCTCTAATTATGCAGAGAAGTAGTGAAAAGAACCTGTATCAACATGAATTAACATTAAGATTCATATTATAATCTGTATTAAGATGAACGACTGCATGTCATATATATGCAAAAAAGATTAAGTACTGGAATAATACAATATCAACAGACATTATATCATTAAACGGTATGAGACCGAACAAAGAGTGGATTTAATCCAAATTCTATGTTAAATCAATCTAAAATTGGTATTTTTGAAACATATATTTTATTGAATAATAATCCCAATAGCCACACTCAAGGGCAATATATATTAGGTGTACATTTATACCAATGGCGGTTTGAAATATAATGTACCAGCACTAGCAGATCCAGGATCTAGTTTTGGGGGGAGGCAGAGCCCCGAAAGCCCCCCCCCCTCCGTAGGTCCGCCCGTGTGTACTAGTGATCATGAAAAAATGTAATTCATTAGGTAGATTTTATTTTACTAGCGATCGGAATTAATAACATACTCCTATATAGTATATGACATTATAACATACGTAACATACTTCCAGGACAAGCAATCAAACTAGAGGACCTTGAGAGATTGGACGGCGGAGGTGAAGAACTTCAACTTGACCTCAGAGGATTAAAGTGACGTAACTTTGGAAAGTTGTGTCACTGCCACATCGTCACGAAAGTCTAATTGCCTCTAACTTTATGCCTTGCACTTTATGGCTTGAAATATGTCGTGTATTTATTGCAAAAGTCACTAAGCAACATTCTCCAATTTTTTTTTTATTATGATATATACAACTGTATTATAATATAAATACATCAAGTAAATCTGTACAGAGGAATATAATCACATGAAAACGCTTGTCGAGAAACTTCCTATTGGTAGTCCTCTAATTCTCCAACTTAGAATCACTTTTTGTAAAAAATTTTGATAATTTTTTTTAAACCAAAACATTGGACATTTAATCTCAATTTTATGTTATTTTAATTTTACTGTGTTGCTATATTGCTGGAACGGCGTTTCAATATTCATAAAAATTCCACCGAAACAACAAAATATTGGTGAGTAAATGTATAACCGTTAAAACTACTGAAACAATATTACCAAAATTCAACTAGACCATCTCCATGGTCATCGGAAGGCTTAGTAATAATAAAACCTAACGATTTTAACAGAGTAGTAACCATTTTTTTCGGTTGCCGCTACCCCTCACCATTTCTGGCATACTGGGGAGTTGTTCTAGAGGTACAACCAAACGTATTCTCACCAGAGCGGAAAGGTCGAGATTTAGTCCGTGAGTTCGGTACCAAATAAATTTCAACCTACCCAGGCAGGATTCCAATCGGACTATACTCAAGAATGTTAAAGAGGACAACACCTCAACACGCTCGGCAATTACGACCTCAAAGGTCTATCAATTTGGAAAACTAAACACGTAAGAAACCACGCTATAAGAGCTTATAAATACTGACTTTTTTAAAAGTTTTTTTTAAAAATATATATATATATATCGATAATTACTTATTTGATAATTACTATTATAAGTAATTATAATTACTATTGGAAAAAAAAGAAATTAAATACCTATAATGTTTAAGTGATTCTTGAAGTCATATTAAATGTAATTACGCGAACAACAATGCTTTTTGAAATAATTGTTTTCATAAGACATGGTTATGTTTTACCATTTTTTGGGGAAGGGGAGAATCCTCCTGCCCCCTTCCTTCCTCTTTCCAAATTGAAAAATATATTATTTATTGTATTGTATTATTGTAAATGTAATATATTATTACATTTATTTTTACAGGTTTTCAAGGATCACTTAAACATCATTTCACAAAATTAATTTTTTTTCCAAAGTAATTATCTTGAAATAAACCTCCTCCATCCCTGTAAAATTAAATCCTGAATCAGCTACTGATTTGTGGTGTAAATTATATAAAATATTGCTTTATTCCACTGAAATAAAAAAATTTCCTAAAAAATGGTAAGCATTGATTATTTGTTCAGTAACATCAAATGTGATTGCTCGACAATTATATCTTAATCCCCAAAAATTACGTTTAAAAACATGACAAATTTAATCTGCACCATATTGTAACATTATTTTTGTTCTCTTAAGCCATCATTGGTCGCTGGATCAATCTGGTCATGGATGGTAGCGGGTGAGACTTTTCCTCAAACAACTTGCTTTGTGGCCTTAACCATGGATTTATTTTAAAAATTTGTTTAATAGATGTTTATTAATGCATATTAATGAAAAAAAAATTCAACAAACAAGTCAAAAGATTTATAAACTGTTAAAAACTTTTAAAGATTTATAACCAGATAACCGAAGTTATAAATGATAAAATAGATATGAGTTCGTGTCTTGGTGCCGCGGGGCTCTTTTAACTTGACATCAATCCCCCGCCCTCTCACCTTGGTCCGGGCAAACCCCGCATAGTCTAAAAGTTTAAAAAATATTTTTTATGAGGAAGGGGAAAGCAAACAAACAAAAAAAAAAAAAAAAAAAAATCCTGCCTCTAAGAGCTCCTAGACCAGTTCCACTATTTATGTGAGAGAAATTCTCAGGCAGCAAGCAACCAATGACGGGTTAATCTCAAGAGATTTCTATGCTTTCTATGAAGAAGTTAGAATGTTCTCTAATGTCGCCATCTTAAGCAACTATACTTAGAACTGGTGAAAGGTGAGTAAATGGCTTTGTTTTACAGCACTTTGGAAACTGAAGTTGACGTTATATTTTTAAACCATATCATAACCAAACATTCTAAAATCAGTTATACGCGCAATACAAAACAAAAAATTGAATATGAGCAAGTTTCTAAGCTCAGCGTTGATTCCATCAATGCATTTTATCAATTGATTGAATCCAACAGCGATACACAACTATTTATATTTAGTTTAGGAACAACCTGATGGATTCCAGCGGAAGGTTAACACTCCTAGAAGACTATATCACACATGAACAATAAATTAAAAAAAGTAAAGAAATAACTACTGAATTGCTGAATTTCAAAACTGAAATAAAAAAAAAAATAAAAAAGACAGACAGTAAAGTGAATATAAATTTGTAAAGTAAATTGATAAGTAACAACGCCAAGGTTATAATGAGATTTCATCCAGTGGACCGATCGACTCAAAAAGTCGATGAATCCGCTGTTTCAATCTCTCAATAAAGGAACGGCCTGAATTACTGCTTAAACAGATTAATAATTTTAAATTTGAATGATATAACTTACCAGATGGTGCTGAGAAATCCACTCCTGTCTTTAAATGCTCGTCGTCGGGCCATGTCAATTTTTGGATAATTTCTGCCATGGCTACAACCTGTAAACAAAAATTATATTAATCCATTTATGCAATAATTTTATGGAAATGTGAAGAATATATTTTAAACATCCTTTAATAAGTCTAAGTTAGGATAAATTCAAACTTTAAGAAATAATAGATTACACTTAGAAATATTTTATTTAGGCATTTAACAATAAATACTTGATTTTTATTTATTTAAATTTATAAATGTATAAGGCAAATGTATAAATGAAATAAATATTTGAATTAATAAAAAAAGCGGAACCAACTACAGAAATCGGAAAGACCTGTCCATTCTAATTGATTGTTCTTCCATATCTACTTAAACAATTTTGGTAGTTTATTAGGAAAATTGACATCGAATATTTAAACACGGAGTTGTGTTTATAAACATTAAAAATTATTTTTTTAGGGATGGTTGCGAAAAACGAATATCCAATTCAGGGAATATATACGCCCAGAAGGGTGGTATTTTTTGAGGGAGGCATATTTTGAAGAGTATTTGAATTTTTGAGGGGAACAGATTTCAAAGGGGTAATAAATTTTCGGACCAAGCGACAAGAAGAAAACATGGAACATACTGCAGTAAGTATTACATAATTGTATGTGATCTACCATTTTTATAATTCTACTCTCTCTTGCTTTGTTTTTAAGAAAAGATGAGCAATTAAATATCTTGGTAGGGGAGGTTTCCAGCACTCCTGATCAAATTTGTTTACCTATATCTAGTAATAAGAGTATTACCTATATCTAGTAATAAGAGTATAAGATTAACACGATCAACCAACACAGCAATTTGGGAGTAAACATTTTTTTTTTAAAGATGAATCATAGTTGATAATTCGTTTTTCGCACTCCATGAGCCATTAAACATTCATTTTTATAGGAAAATTGTTTTCAGAAAAGTTTTGCCTGATTATGAACTGTCAATAAACTGATAAAATAAATGGTTTATTTCCGATTTTGGTCCATCCATTCTACAAGTTAGGTTGTGATGAGTTTATTCTTTGGAGGTTCCCAAAAATAATTTGCAGATTTAATACGTCTCTGTATAACTTGCAAAAGTTTAATAAATTTCTATTAGATTAAGCAGTAATTTCATACATTTGCATTAAAAATTGGAACAAATAAAAGCAAAAGAAAAAAATGAACATTGATTATTTTTTAAATTAAATATTTTTTTCTCGGTTTCTATTATTTCTCCTCTTGTAAGAAAAAAATATTAAATTTGCTTTAAAATAAAAGAGGAGGTTAGAAGCTGAGGGATCGGAAAAATATATACTTGTCCGGATTCCATTTGTAACAGAGGAGAACAAAGAAACGAAAATATTCCCCTTTCATGGAATCACTACCGTTTTAGATTTTCTCAACATGGCATACATTCTCTTCTTTCATGGCAGGATTTGATGATAAGCACTTCAAGCAAGGCCATCTTACCTACTTCAAGACCCCTTACTTGGTTACGACGTGCTTGGACATCGGTTGTATCAGGCAGGTTGGGTAGCCAGGACATTTCGTAGGCTTCTACGGCTGCTTCTTCAGCAGCTAAACTGCTAGTCATTACCTTGTTAATACATACCTCCTCGGCAGGCCCTTATTTCCGACATTTCCTTCTTCCCTTACTCCTCAGGGTCATGCATGCTCGCGAGGCGATGCAATACCAACATCATTACCCATATAAGGAAGCTCGTCGAAATCAATTTTCTTTATTTAGAAGGAAAACGCACTTCCTTTTTTATTGGAATATTGAAAGGGAAAAAAACACCCACTGTCTACTAGGAGTTTTAGGCTACAAAAATCGGGAAATCCTTTCCAATTTAAAGGAATGTACCTGCATATCTACTTAAACAGCTTGGAAATAGTCAGGGCTCTTAGGGGACAAATTACACACCCAAATGAAACTCAGAACTCTTTCGGTATTGACATACACCTATACATGGGACGAAATCTATTTGCCATGATCCTTTATGTGTATTGAATAGCAACCGCCTACTACAAAAAGTTCGAACATTCGTAGATGTTAACAATCTACTAAGGTGTTAAGTAGATGTGAAAGTAGATCACCTTTTAATGGAAAGTTTTTTTAATTCATTTATTTTTTTCTGTTTTGACCAAACTCAAATTATCCTTCCATTTTACAACATAACGTTTTTACAAAATCTAATCCAAAAAAAATTGAAATTATTTTGACGAGTTGTCGACTAAAAAATACAGGCCACTTTTTATCAAATTATTAACGCCCATCTAAAACTTCGTGAATGGCTTCATCTTGTCGTAAACAAAAACTTTTCTAAGAAAATTCTTAGAAATGGGATGGTTTATGGTTAAGTTAATTAATTTAATGAGGAACAAAAACAGCATGAATATCGGTCTGCTTTCCATTTGAATCGTAAGATAATTTGAACACAAAATCGAAAAAAAAGTGGCCTACAAAAATATTAGGGCGTTTTGCCTAAATAACATGGTTTTTTTTTACATCATACCCATGGATATTACCCAAAACGCTCCAATATTTTTGTAGAACACTTTTTTCTCAATTTTCCCAACAAATTATCTTAGAATTCAAGTAAAAAGCAAATGGATATTGATGAGTTTTTAGCATCTCATTAAATTGACAAAGTTTATCGATCAATAGATCGAGACCGCCCCATTTTCGAGAATCTTCGTAAGTAAAAAACTTAAGCAGATAACGATAAAATAAAGCCATTCGCGAAGTTTTAGATGAGTGTTAATAATTTGATAAATAATTTGATAATAATTTGATGATGAATATACAATTTGATAATTTTATTTTCCATTAAATTTAATCTATCTATCTAGCATCTTCTCTAGTTTTTTAAACGATTTCGCCTTTTCAGTACTCAAGTAATTTCGTTGATATTATTAAAAATATATCCAAAAATAATGTAGTTATTTTCATTAGAAAGTAGGTATTATAATTTAGTGAAAACAAATTATTATTTACAATAAAGAGAATGAAAAAGTAGTTAAAGAAAATATTGCTTGCTAACAAGCAACCTAAGCTTGCACTAAGGACTGGCGCAAACGCCATTCGATCTCCTTTGACAGTCCTCAATTGTTCTGAGACGCTTGCATACAAAGATGTACCTACATGACGTAATTGTGTCGTAAAGCCGAGGTCATCGATAGTAGCATCCGATACATTGAGAAATGCAACATTGATTTGTAACTGCTTTACTTTTGTATACAACTGATGCTTTACAAAACAAAAATAAGCAAATTAAAAAAAAGTAAAGAGAAAGAGATCCTTAAAGGTTAAAGATATTGTTCCCTTCTAATAAATTTTATTCTTACAATTTCAAGATTGGAGAGTGTTTTTTTTTTTTCGGGATATGAAAAGATAATGAAAAAGAAACAAATTGATTGAAGATAGGCTAGTGACATTCCAACAATTCCTGAAAGTGGTGAAGCGGGCAAGAAGAGGAGCGTTCAAAGGTTTTAGTTCTGTGGAAAGGGATACCCAGATTAGAAACACGAGGTTTTGTTTTCTGTGAATGGCCAGAGGGTTTAAAATGTAAGATACTGCAGATGTAAGAAGGTTGCTGGGAACATATAGTTTGGTAGAGGAAAGATCCGAGAAAATACTGTCGACAGGAAGAGGGTATTTCAACCCGCCATAAAGATCGTCTCGAGGTAGCGTAGACAAATCTGAGAGAGTTTGATTATACACAGATGTTCTATCAAAAAGTGATATTTATATATTTTATAAAGTTACTTTTTAAAAATTTTTAAACTTTTACAAGAACAGTTGATTTCAAAGATTCTAAATATGTGGAGTGGAAAACCGCCCGATACATGTCAATTGTAAGATTTTGAAAACTGTTTCGAATTAATAAGAAAAAATGTTGATACATCGTAATATCGATGTTGAAATTTTATTATCGAAAACCTATATTTCTCCTCTTCACTAAAAAAAAAAAAATAATGGCCAAAAGAATAAATAAAATTTAATATACACAAAGAAAGTCACCTCACTGATTAAAACAACGCCATGAGGGTCTTTTTTAACAAAATACCTGAATTAATTTATTTTATACTTTAAAAGATAACACATATTAATAATAATTAATGATTATCACAGATTTCAGTCATTATTAAATTCAAATTTCAAAACTCAAATTTACTTTTTTTACATAATTTTTTTTTTTAATCCTTCGTAATTATTTTATTAAATTACAAAAGTTATATAGACTTTAGTAATTCATTCAATTAGTGAATTTATTTTAGTAATTTTCTTACAATTTTTTTTCATGTTCAAGCAATATAATTGATTTTTTTTTTAGTGTCTAGTACTTTCCCACTGGTACGAGGTAAGTGAAGTATTACTATCTGGTCAAATTTTCGATATGCGGTTTTCAACGGATCTTTACGTATCAGAGTCCCCTGAGTCCAAAAAAACACAATCTCTACTGCTTCTGTTGTATAACTTCCCAAAAACCAAAAATCAAAATATGGATATCACCTATGTAGAAGAACGGATAGAAAATATTTAAAAGAACATAAATTTACAGTAATCGTCTGATTTCAACGAATAGTTTTATTATTTTTTAGGAAATTTCGCAAACTTTTAAAAGACCATGTGCTACATCCACGAAAATATGTATATTTTTTGGGTTATTTGGAAATCTAGTTTTATTACCTTACCCTTCGTAACTTGTTTCCAGCTTCTTTTCGGCAAAGTACGTTATTTGAACCACACAATTAATTTTGTTTTTCAATTCACTACGTTGAAAGGAAAGTATTTTTCGGTGAAGTGTGTCATATATAAATTTAAAGGGCATCAAAAAGATGACTTAAGGCCAAGTTTCATTAAAACCGATACATCCGTTTCGGTGCTACTATACGAAACAGGTCTTTCAGACGTTATCTTGAAAGGAAAGTAATTTTCCGTGAAATATGTCATATTCCAGGGGTGCCTGAAAGGGAGTTTCATGGCACATCCCCTTTTATACGAACATTCAAAGGGTATCGAGGAGAAGAGATTGATCAAGTTTCATTTAAATAGGTACGTCCGTTTAGCCATTATAGTTATATATATAGCGACACAGATTCTTCGACCGCCATCTTAAAAGAAAAGGGCGAATGGTAATACCGAGTTCTTAGGATCATATAGGAGATTTTTATTTTAAGATTGAGTCCAAATAATCGATGAATCAAAATAATTGATTCAGTAGTCTCGGAGTATAATCGCGGATGGCGCACAGTGGGACCAATGATGAGTATTCGTGGACATTACTTAATATTTAGTCCACTTATATTTTCAAGGCCAAGGAACACGAATATGACATCAAAATTAGAGAATTTCCACAAAAACAAAAGAAATCCCGGTTATTTTGTTTAAACCTCAGAATTTTTAAATTTGTCAAAAACGCATAATTTTAGATACCTATTTGTAACTACTGTCTATGTTACTACATATAACCGTTATTTTAATTCTTTTTTAAGTTTAAAAACACTATAAATCACAAATTATAATTGTAATATATGTATATGTCATAACTTATAAAAGTGTATCGTTTATTAATTATAAATATTCATTTTATAATAGTTCTTATGAAATAATGAACATTTTATTTTATTTTTATCACGAAAAAATTTAAAAATCAAAGATAATGATATTTTGAACACCATCGACACATCACCACAAAGAATATGTATTTTTTTTATTATTTTTAAAGATTATATTAACAACAACTGATGCAGATCAAGTCATAATGGTTCAACAAAATACTCTGAGATTTAATTTACCGGTACGAAATCATAACGATATTTAAAAATAATAAGAATTAGAGATTGAAAACAAGTATATTTCATTACTAACAGACAGTAATCTTAGTGGAACAAGTAAATAAAACTATTTCCCCTTGAGGCCGCCTTATACCCATTGAGCACGTTCTGTTTAATTTTAAACTTTAGTTCATTTAACGGTCTTGTGTTTGTTTATTTATTTAGATTATAGTGAAAATAAAGGATGCTTATATACAGTTAAAATAATAATATAAAAGATTATTCCTTATCTAGTTAGAAAAAATTAAAATTTTAAAACAATAAAAAGAAGATTTAACATTTAATGTAATTTTTTTTTATTGTTTAAGTTTGAGGATTTTTTCGAAACAAATAACTACAGAACCCTATATTCTTTATGTTCAATACAATTCTTAAAACTAAATTTGAGAGTATGTCTAGTTAAAGGAGATATTAGTACATATCTAGAAATTATTCGAAGATTTATACTTCCAAAATAATTTTTAGTATATTTTAACTATCTTCGGGCGGAGTATGGCGGTTTAAATTAATAATAATTTATCTTTAACAATGACTGCTAAAAGGTTGTAAGAAACCAATTTTTCCGGAGGATATCATAAGTCTTTTTAAATCGCAATTTATGTGAAAATTTGATTTAAAACCACCTATTTTTGTTAACAAAAAAGAAATTATTATAGTTTTTTTTAAGCAGAATGACAGTAGAAAGTGTATAAAGATTCAAGAAAAAATCATCAACAATCATCGAAATTTTACAAAACCTCGAACCAAGAAATTTTACAAAACCTATAAATCATACGAAATTCCATAATTTTCTCTTTTATATGAAGCAATAATTTAAATAGCATTTAATTTAGGTAATTAAAAATTGCTGAAGCAAAAAAATTACTATGCATAGTAAACTAGACAAAATTTTCTTAAAATACATGTTGGGTTTGTTTTTGTTGATGCAACCCAAATGAGACTTTTAAGCGATTAAACTACGCCAACTTGTGTTTCTAATAAAATCATAGATTTTTCGCAGCTTTTTTAAAATCATCCTATGACGGGGCAACAGATCCCCCACTTTTATAAAAACTTCCATGTTTAAAAGTCCATGTAAATTTAGTTGAAGTTTATTACGGAATAAGGACATGTTCACTTCCAGTTGTGTAAAAAAATTGTATGATTTGACATACTTGGTATTTGAGGTACTTGTGTTTAGTGCGTTATCTATAGGATGATAAAAATGAAATCTTCGAATGATCTATGATTTTATGAAAAACAGAACTTTGCGAATTTTAGCCGCTTAAAAGACAACTTGTATTTGAAGAAAATTTACTTGTTTACTTTGAAGTAAATAATAATTAGTTAAATTAAATGTATTTGAGTTATCGCTTCCTATAAAGGGACTTATATAAATACAAAACTCAAATTTCTACTTTCTGCGAAAACGATAGTTTATTTAAACTTTTTTTGTAACTCATGAGGTCTACTATAATCTATTTTTATATTTTCCTTTACCTATGTGACACCTTGAGAATATATGAAGTGTCAATACTTCAATTATAATACTCTACTTTTCAATATCTGATGTGTCAAGTCAGAATATATTTTTGCTAATACTATGTAGTTTTTAGGGGACGTCATTATCTCTTAAATGAACATAAAACTAGAAAATTAGGTAGATGAAAAAAAAAATCGTATAATAAGATAAACTAGTGCGAGATAAAACACATTTTTAAACTTCAGAAATTGAAAAAAAATCCTTCAGTTAAGACTTTGTCAAATAGTAGTAATGCACACATTGTAGTAGGCTATCTTCCCCTCGTATGCATCAACGATCTCATTTTAACCGAAAAATGTCTGTAACAAGTGAAATGTCAAAGCAAGCTATTACTCACTTAAATGCCGGTCGAGAAGCCTGCAGACCAGATCAACAACATTGACGGCCCATCCCAACAACAACAACGCAGATATCCACACTGGACCCACTGGCGGCGAGGTAGGAAATGCCCACGGCGACTGTCTAGTGACTGGTAAAGTCGGAGCTGTTTATTACCATCGGACTTCTTCGGGTTTTCTCGGCAGCGGTCGTGGAGAATTATAAGTTATATAAAGAACTAAATATTTCAAGTTTTTTTTTTTTTAAATATTCAATTGCCTTCATTAGTTTTTTTTTTAATATACTTATGATACTGCCGTTTAGCGGAGTAAAAAAATCTCACTTCTTCATTCTATTTAACCTTGCTGCCCTCGCCGCTTGTGATTATCGGTGACTGGTTTCCCGGTGCTGTTCTTGAATTATATTTCAATTCACTTCCTCCAGCCTGTCAGACGATTTTTCCATTTAAAACGTCAACAAGTCCACGTCAAATAGTATTTAAATTTCTGGCAGAGTTTTGGTTAATAATCATTTGTGTCAACTACTGAATAAAACAGCTATTTACTAAATTATTCTTAGATTCTTTTTTTCTTTTGTTTTTGTTTACAAAACATATTTAGTTGTAGATTGAAATAGACAATTCTTAACTAGAAATTTATTTAATTACTTGATGTTTTAGGTGTCATTCAAGATGTTTTTATATTAAATATATATTTAAATGTTGAAAGAATAATACCACACATCACAGTTTTTCTGTTGGTTTTTTTTTATTTGTGTTATCGATAACAATTTATTTAGAATGAAATAGTCCGTGTTACAGGCCCCTTACAAAGAAACTTTATAGTTTTATCTCATTGTAACTTACAACTATTTTATTTACGAAAACCCTTGGGATGGGAGCGTTTTCAATCTGGAGGGGAGCAAATTTGGTCTATTTAATTAGGTACTAGAAACTCGTTAAGACCCATCTGTTTTCTGTTCGGTTAAAAAAAAAACAAATAAAAAAAAGCATGAACAATGAAAGGAAGGAAAAAGGAAGATATTCATTTTTATTATTTTTTTCTTTTTATTTATTTATTTTTCTTCCTTTTTCTTTCCTTTCATTGTTCATGCTTTTTTTTATTATTTTTTTTTTTTAACCGAACAGAAAACATATATATATATATATATATATATATATATATATATATATATATATATATTACTAATATTAACTAATACTTCTGTATATTTATATATAAGTTCATATATTGTCCTAAGGATAGAAGAGTATGCTGTGTATGTAGCACCCCAATATAATTGGGCAGCAATCCTTTATATTTTATATTTTATGAAAATAAAGTGTTTCTCTCTCTCTGGGTAGTAAGATAATTTGTTCACAAAATCGATAAAAAAGGTAGCCTTCAAAAGTATTGAGCCGCTTGGCATGACCTACATCCCCAAATTTTCAAAATAACGAGATTATATAGGACAAACGGCCCATTATTTTTGTAAAACTTCTTTTTTATCGATTTTGTGATCAAATTATCTTACAATGCAAGTAGAAAGCAAATGAGTATTTACGAGGTTTTAGTACCTAATTAAATGGACAAAGCTTGCCACCCTCCAGATTGAAAACGCCCCAATTCCAAGAGCTTTCATAAATAAAATAGTTGTGAGTTACGATAAGATGAAACTATTCACGAAGCTTCAGGCGGATGTTAATAATTCGATAAAAAGGGGTCTATACCACGGAATAAAAAGCTTCCTTTTTACCAGCTTATTAATTTTATTCCAGCAAATAAATAAATTTATTAAACAATATCTAATGATTTTATTTTCTTTATCATTCTCTAAGAGAGTGTAGATTTTTATTCCACATCCACTAATATCAATCCCTCAATTAAAAACTAATATTACCAAATTTATTCTGTTATGTTTTTGAAGCAAGCAAAAAATATTGAAACACTTTCAAAATTTTCAAAAAATTATGCTCTTATTATTAGCATGATTTTGGGAATGAACAAATATTATTACTGTCAAATTCACTCTGAATTATTCATTATCTTACCGCTTGCTAAATTAAATCACTATATTTTAAATTACGTTAGGATGTCCATAATGATCGGAATTTAACAAATTTAAAACGTTTTAGAAATGGAGATCACATTTTCAAATTTAATTAATATTTTCAAATTTATAATTAATTGTGTTATAAGAAATTACAACCAGTTTTTTTGACAAATAATTATTTCAACTTAACCTGTGGTAGTGATGGGCTATGAAAGGCACACAGATCGCCTGGTGTCGAATACATTAATCGATTGGATTCGGATTACTGATTCAACAGTCTTGGCGAAACATTTAAAATAGATTCCAAATTTTATCATTTTGTAGGTATGAAATCTACAACTTATCGCTGCAGATGAATCTTTCAAGAGGACATAGCAAGAAACTGCAATTCATCAAATACTTTCAGTTGACCTCAACAGTGTGTCAGTAGGACAACGCTAACCAAACGAAAGAACCAGCCATCCACCACTTGTAAATCCCCCTCCATTGTAAACTGAACTCTATGAAATATTGACTCAGCATAATGGTACAACGTCCCATAGCAATTTGCGGCACGATTTAATTAATGAATGCATATAAATTGTGTTGAATTATTTAAATGATCGACCGTTAAAAGTAATGTGAGAAAATATTTAAGAAAAATAACTTGCAAATGTCGAACTATAGGCGTTACCTGAGCGTAAATATCTAGCCTTTATTTTTAGATCCTTGACCCGAAATCGAATCCGTGTTACCAACTTTATAGCTTTTTTTTTATCCAGTAGCCAGTGTCACAAAGTCCACCGTTGTAGGGGTTTTTCAAACGGCATGTGAAAATAAAATTCAACAATTCTAATCAATTTCTGAATTTGTAAATCAGTATCACGAGACTTTTAACGTGGTCAAGAAAGGAAAAAAAATACTAATCTAAAATCAAACAAAGTTGCCTTTAATTAATACAATATGATGCTGTAAAACATCATTCGGTTTTTCAGAGGACAACGTTTGAAAAATTATTTTGGGTTTGTTGTGCTAATGTTTGACTGGGAAGTTTAGATTTTAATTTAATTGAAATAAAATAACATATACACAACTATAATTTACCTAAAATGTCGTTATTGATTCTCTTCAATAATTATTTACCAAAACTAGGTAATTGGTAATGCGAAAAATAATTCTTAAATCCTAAATCTTTGAATCTGGATAATAATTTTTATAGACAATCATTTAGAATGAAGCAATTGTTAATAACTCAAATTACATATTTCTTTAGTTATCGTTTTCTACTCAACAAAAAGCGTGTTATTTTTAAAAAACACACAAAACTTGGATTTTCTACTTATCTGCTGAAAATCGGTCCATTGTTTATATGAACTTTTTTGTAGGTATTGAGGTCTACTATCGTTTCTATAAAAACTTCCTTCTACTTAAGGGACACCCTGTATTGAAGAGCATTAAACATACTGTCATTTATAGGATACGTAAAGTGTGTGACTTTTTTAAATTCCATATCATGCTGTTACATTAAAATGACCAAATTTTTAATTTTTATTTAATAAGATTCTTTTACAGCAAATTCAACTGATTTGGAACCGGTAGATGACGATACACGGTGATCGGTGAGAATGTCATAAGTGAAGGCAAACTACGTCCCTCAATACGGAAATACTACCTATATAACAGAGGAGCCAATCCTGTGAAAGGTATATTTTTAACAAACAACCTATGAAAAAATATTATGAGGTCTTAAGCAAATTTACTTATTAACACTTAATTAATAGGCAAATTTGGTTGTTTTACACAGTTAATTATTTTTTTTTTTAATTTGAATTGTCAGTTTACAATTGCAATAATTGATTTAACAGAATTTTCCTATTGCCTTAAATTAATTTATTACGGTAAAAAATTCTTTGTGACCTAATTTACTTAAAAGTTTTAAAAACAATTTTTCATGAAATTGAATAAAGATGGAATGAAAAGAAAAGAAAAATGCAGTTTACAATCAAGTATTATAGACTAAAAGTAAAATTATATAAGAATTAAATGAATTTTTAAAAAATATATATATTTATTGAAATCTACAACTGTATTACATGAAAAATACAACTAGTAAATTTGTAATCACTAACATGCTCTGTACAACATGAAGAGAAACTACCCATTAGTAGCATTCCAATTATAATTCTATATTAGAAGGTCCCGAGGTCATCTTCTTTCCAGATTCTTCGGAGGGTTATCAGGAATAAAAAAGGAAGCAAGGTAGGAAACAAAAGAGTTCGGATGGTTCAGAAGTTTATTATGGAAGGATTGAGCAAAATCGGAAACATATGTTACATTAAGGTCGTTATGGATGATTTTATTTGTGACAAAGTGGGGGGAGCATTGAGGATTTTACGAATGATTTTGGATTGTAAGGATTGAATACGAGAGGAATTTGACGGTTTCTTTGAATCCCAAAGTTTGATCCCTTAAGTTCAAATAGGGCTTATTATAGTAATTTATATGAGCCTTTTGTAAATAATTGCAAGTTTAGAGTGTTTGTTTATTAAGTGATGTGGTAGTCGAAAACGTCGTGCGGTTTTTAGTCGTTTCAGTCCGGTATCAGATTTGTTCAACAGAGATAAGTGGGGTATCGTTAAAGCATACTGTAGGGAAGGAAGTCATAGGTTTGCGATAAAGGGTAAAGATGATTTGATGGGATTTATTTTAATCCTACAGTTTTGACACCATTTTTCAAGACTTGTGATGTGTGATTGAAGAGTTTGGGGTGCATTTGATGGATCTTTATTAACTGATGGGATACACGTGTCATCGGCATAGGTGGTGATGACAGTGTTGGATTGGGTTAGGATATCAGCTGTATAAACTGTTTAAAGGAAAGGACCTAGGACACTACCTTAAAGAACACCAGCAAACTGAGAAAAAAAAGAGATGAATAAGCATGGTTGTGATTTATTTTGAAATATTTGTCAGTAAGGTAGGAACGGATGATGAGGAAGTATATGGGTGGTAGGAATTTATGGAGTTTTGTACATCATTTTCGGGTGCCAGACTCTAACAAACGCCAAATGAAAAAAATAAAATTATGAAAAAGTAACATTATAAAAGAGAATATTCGTTTATTACTCTTAACCACTAGCGGATCCAGGATTTAATTTGGGAAAGGGCTTCAGTCCGAAAGCTTTTTTGTTTCATATATATATATAACGATAATGTCTTAAAAAAAAAAAAAAGATACTAATTATCTATATGAAATGGTGTTTTAGTAATTTTTGAACTCAGTTTAAATGTAATTACACGAACAGTAATACTTTAAAAGATATTTTTTATACTTTAAAAGATATTTTTTTTTATAAAACATGGTTACATTTTACCATTTGGAGGATGAGGACTTCAGCCCGAAAGCCCCACCCGTAGATCCGCCTGTGCTATTTACAAATAAAGTATAAACCGTTGTAAATAATGGGGAATAAGCTTGTTCTATTTTTTCTATTGATTACGGAATGAATATATTATAATTACATAACAAAATTTATGACAATGAAGAACCTCAATGAATTAACAACGGTCGGAAATAACGCTGGTTTACATAACAAGCGCTTCAAAGGTATTGGAATCCCGAAAAAACTTAAATTGAATTTGTACAATACTAAGATAAACACAAGTTCTAATAAATGGATAGGGGACCTGGACAGTAACCAGCACACAAGAAAGAAATATAGAGAAAAAATCTCCCTAAGATAACCGGAGGAACCAGGGAGCAGAATTTTAACGGCTAGAGGAAAATGACCAATAAAGAGCTGCTTATAGAAACTGGTTAATCAATATCGCAGGATATGAGGCAAGGAGCTAAGACAGACGAGCCATATATTAAACATTTCGGTAAAATCAAGAGTTCTTTACGATCATCTATTCATAAGATATTAATCTTCAAAGTAACCTTTTAAGGTTTACTGATACGGTTTGACATCACATTTTCAAAAAGATTTGTTTCTATTTCGTCCAGTAAGAATCGGTAGGGCTTTCACATTATTTCTTACAGATATGAAATTCAACCTTTAGTTTCGATTTTAATAATGTTTGTTTACAGCGATGCCTATAAGAAGCCGTGATATTATACCGGTGTTGTGGGTTTCACATAGTCAAACAAACTATAAGCTTATAAATAACAATAAAATAAAATAGGAAATTAGTTATATCATTCAATATTTGAATATTTACAGATGAAATTTGAAAAAAAAAATACGGGAATATGAAGTTCACTATTATTTATGTTCAGGAAAATGAAAGAAGGATTACATATGTGGAGAAAGCAAGAAAGTAACTGACTTAATATTGACATGTGTGAGGAACCTCCAATTCAATTATATTGCTTCAATAATATAGACCCTACTATGAAATGTCCGTTGTATTTAGATGTAAAAAACCGAAAGTCATTATTTAGTGTACCATCAACTTTAATTGACAGAAGGAATTCAGTCACTACTTTCCTCAATGGCTACGGTTTTACAATTGTACAACATCAGCACATGGTTTTATGTACAATCATCCCAAGCCTTGAATATTAATGCCTTTTACAGATTAATCCAAATCAAATCAAAGAGATCAAATGCCTGTCTTAAGGTCATGGTCATCGGGTCAATAATACTTTTTTCTCTTGATAGCTATGAAAATCAGAGCAGCTTCCGTAATGTCATTCTCGACAATAATCCATGAATATTGAAGCCTTATTGTGGAATAATCCCTATCAGAACGAACGCATTAGTAATCTCCTATTACTGACGCAGTGACCGATTAGAGCGTTCATCAATTCATACATGGATCGCTAATTTTTTTGTGATTATTTATTGCATTATCAACTTAATTATTCTACTTCAAACGAAATTGTTCATTTATAGATCGATAGCAAGGCACAACATACCTTCATCTACTACTACCGACTGCCGGCTACTTCGCTGAACGCACTATGTAAGAGGTCGACCTTTTGTCATCTGGAAGGAACAGGAAGTATCTGTTGATGGCTTTGCAACTCATTGGTAATATTAATATTTGATTTGCTTAGAGGAAGTCATCACAAACACTACAGGGTACAATCAATATTAGCTTTGACAAGGCTGAGTCGAGAGTATCTCCTGAGAAAAGTATTCGACAATGCAAATCGTTCGTCGTTAATGTCACACACCAGGAAGACCATGCCATGATGAAAATGGGTTTATAATAATGCACCAGTCCATCTGGACGTGTAAAACAATAAAATTAATTAACAGTAATATTTTCAACGAGACAAATCGTATGAATAAATATTACCTGTGTACTTAATATATATAATACTATAATATTTTATAGTAACAGGGTGTATAAAAAATATGGCCGTTTTTAACCAAATATTGGTATTATTATTTCTTTGATACAAAATACAATTTATACTCAAAGTATAGTCCATTGTTATCT